CCGGAGCCGCCAGGGCGGAGCGGCCCCGCGAGGAGTCGGAGGAGGAGGGCGAGGGCCGGCGGGTGGAGCGCGGCCGTGGTGACCCCGACATCGCCAGATCCCCGCGCGACCCCAAGCGGTATCGGTGAGCGCGGGCGGGAGACTCACCTGCCCGCTCGCCCCGCTCCCCTCATGGCCGCGCCTCGCGTCGGTCATATCGACGTGACGTCAGAACGGGACGCCTTGCCAACACTTTCTTCTGACGGGCACTGGCGCCCTGGTGACTCGCAAAGATTGAGCGACCTAAAATAAATTTAGAAGACGTATTTGCATATGCATTTGCATATGTTTTGGGCCTCCCACGTGGCTCTGAGGTGTCACCAGGCCCTAAATATGAAATTATTGCTTTGGAAGCTCAAATGGCCATATTCGGTAAAAAAAACCCTACTGTCCACTGAAAACACAATGCAAATGAGTATGCAAAATAAGCCTAATTTATTTTATATGGCTCCCAGTGAGCGAGTGAGAAGTGGGTCATCCAAATCGAAGCATTTCTATATTTCAAGGCAAACCCTAAAGTGGGTCAAGGCTCCTTGAGAGCAGCTAGGGTGCTGCATCTGTTGCCTGCCTCAAAGCTTATTGTACATTTTGGCAATCGAGACTCGTGGTAGAGATGATATTTTTATTAGAACTGTAAGATTTTTGCAAAAAAAAATTCTTTAAATGTTGCAAAATCTTCTGCAAAAATCTTGTGGGTCTAATAAAAGATACCATCTCTATGACTAGTCTCGATTGCCTTTTCCTCCAGACCAATACGGCTGTGACATGGATACCTTGTACATTTTGAATGCTTTTACTGTTATCGACTGCGCGTTATACAAGTGCTGAATGTATAGTACAAATATGATAATTATCATATACCTGGCAACACTGCAGAGACAGAACCAGTGATCTAACTGGCCTCCAGCACCCCAGGATACACTGCTCCCAGCCCCTCCCCCACTGACATCTGTGCTGCTGACTGCTGGCCAGGGTGGATGGGGAGCCCCTCTGTGCCCGTACCCCCCATCTGCTGCATGTGGAGCTCGAGGTCTGGGGGTTCCCTGGGTGAGCATCCTGCTGCGTGTTGTGCTGGAGCCTTGCCAGCAGTCCCAGGGTACTGTGTCCATAGTGCGGGCTGGGAACAGGGTCTGGCCGGCAGGGTCAGCCGGGCTCCTGTGCCCCTCACTGGCTGCCCCTGGGGTGGCCGGTGCTGATCTGGGAGCTGTGACATGCAGCTGGCCTCAGGTGCTTGCCTAGGGTGGCCATCATAGAGGACATTCCGGTTTTCTGCTACTCTGTCCTCTATTGATGTGAAATCCGATGCCTTTATGTCCTCTGTTTTTCTCTTCAAGAAAAAAATAGAGGACATAAAGGCATTGGGTTTCATATCAGTAGAGGACAGAGGACAACTGGACTGTCCTCTGTGATGGCCACCCTACGCTCGTCTTCCTGCCTCTGGATGCTGGAGCCAGGTCCTTCCTTGGCAGGGCAGATATGGGATCTGTGGCCCTGTGGCGGGATGGGTGTGCTAGCAGGGGGTCTCTGCACCAAGGACAAGCCTGGAAATGGCAGGTGGCAGGGTTCCTGCCAGGCATGCTCCCCCATGTAGCAACAGGCTGGTGCTGCACATGCTGGTGTAAAGGGGGTTTTCCTTCCCCATTGTCTCTGCAGCAGTAGGTACCCTGAGGGGCCCGCATACCCGGAGCCCACTGGCCTGGAGCCTGGTGGATTGTAGCCCTTGCACCCACATCCTCCAAGCCCTGGTTTGGAGTTCAGGTTTGCTTGCTGCTCAGTGGTGATGCAAACCTGTCACTCACTTCCCCCTTGCAGCCGGCGACTGCCCCTGCCATGGGTGTCTGCTGCGCAGCACAGCAGCCCGGAGCAGGCAGATGGCAGGAATAGGGAGCTGCGGGGTGGTCCTGCTGCTGTTTGCCTGCTTGGGCTGCTGCACACGGGAGTCACCTGTGGCCAAGGGTTGTGGTGGCAGCAGCAAGCAGATGGGCAGATGATGGCACAGCCTGCTGTAACCCCCTCACCCCTCCCAGAGCAGGGATTGATTCCAGGTGTCCTGCCTCCTAGCCACCCCTGCTTACCAGCTCTTTAGTGGCAAGTCAGAGCTGTGCAGGTTCACAATCGTATCAACTCTTAACATGCTGCATAACATTACATAGAATTAGCATGTGCCAGTTGTATTGTGTAAATTGTTTTAATTGTATTAAACCAGTTTATGTGTAATGTTTGTCCCTAGCCTTGAAGACTAGGACCCCACTTGCTGTGTAGTGTACAAATACACTTTTAAGTTAGTTTTTGTCTGGGAATGTCATCAAATGGCAAAAATGTACTGGGATTGTCTGGTTTTTACCTTTTTGCCTTGCAGAGCTTCAGCATTCAAAGATTCATTTGACTCAAAGATTCAGCATAGTCATGTAATTCATTTCACAGGTATATCAAATTACAAAATGGCTTGGGTGTACTGTTAATTTCGGACATAACTAGCTTGGATGGTGTTGCTTCTGAGGAGTCTTCAGAAGGGGAAGATGAAACTGATACTGAAAGTGATAATGATGATGACGATTCAGGAGCAGAAATTGAAGATGATGAAAGTTATGATGATGAGGATGATGACAATGGTGATGACAACGATGAGAAGCTCAATGATTCTGATGACACGGAAATGGAAGAACTAACAGGAAAAGAAGATACAGAGAAAAATGGTATGGAAAAACTGGTATGTACAAGTGTTCTAGAATGAAAATGTATTACATGGTGAACTACTGTCTTGGTCTAAAATGCCCAAATACTGCAGGGAAACAAGTTACTGCTTCATTCTGGTGTATCGTATCCGCTTTCACATGTATATGGCTTCCATGGTTACGTCTGAGAACCTAGGGTTAAATCTGTGTTGCTGCTGATCATGGACTCAATGTTTGCTCTTTATGATTCAAACAGGAATGGCAACAGAATGAAACATCCTGGTCTGTTTCCCTCTTTTGTTCCTGTTGGGCATAGAGTAATACTAATACATGGGTCTCAAGTTATTCCCTATTAGATAAGATATTTTTAGGAGTAACTTCCATTGCTTTTATTGTATTTAATTTGCAGTCTGCAGCTGCTCTTTGTGTTGGTGTGGGCAGTTTCTGTGACCCCGAAGACCTACCTGGGTTGGCACACTTTCTTGAGCACAGTATGTATCATCTGACATTTCAGTCTTTTTCCCCAAAGCAGGAAGTCTGACAGTGTTTTGGATTTATTGTGTTATATAAAACACTTCAGAAAAAGAATACAGGATTATATACCTGTTTCAAGTCTTAATTTTTTTAATGTTGTAATTGGTTAAGTAAGCCTCAGTGAAAGAGGGAGAGCAAACCAGACACAGCATATGCATCGCTAATGAAAATTCGTGTTTTCATATAATGTCTTTCTAAGTTTCCTCAAATCTGGCATGAAAGAACAATTAACATCTAAGGTCAGTGGTTCATTTGAATATATGTGTCCATTTAGTCTGCTGAGGCTGTGAACAGTGGCTTTGGCAGGGCAACAGCTGTTAGTGTTATGGGAATATGCATTAGGAGTTAATCTGAGCTCATCACGTATTTGGCTAAATGGTAATTTGATAGTAATAACCAACACTTTATCCTGAATCCTGATATTTTAACATCACAGACTTAATTCAGATGTTTGAATGTTCAGGTGTTAAAAGCTGGTACAACTACTTTGATTTCAAATCTGAATTTGGTCCTCTGATAAATGTATATTCTGTTACATGGATATTTAAATGAATGTGTATAGATTTGTATTTGCGTTTGTGATTGGGCATGCTGCTTAAATAAAGGAAAATATCTGTAACTTCTCTCAATGATTCTTTTTCAAAATTGGTTTTTGCGTACTTCCAGTTCTGTTGGTTAGACCTACCCCAATTCTTGCTGACACTACAGCAGACTGTAATCTGTCAATTCTCTCTCAAACCTTCTTCAAGTGTTTTTTAAGTGTTATACCTTTTTACAGAATCCTTTTTGTGTAAAACACATGGTATTGTTATGTCTTTTAGGTGCTGTGTTCAAATTTCAGTCTGTATTTTGCAGTTGAATGCAAATGTATAGTATATGTTCTGTGTTTTGAGAGGTGTTGGTTATAGCCATGTTGCTCTAAGTAGGCAGACAAGGTTAAGCTTTTACTCCACCCAGGGGAGCACACAAACACCAGCAGGCTCTGCCTCTGCCTCTGCCTGGGTTGTTGTGCCTGAAAGCTTGTAAAGAACAATTTTTCCAAGTATTTAGTTGGTTTAATAAAAGATATTATATTTACCCGAAGAACCTTGTCTGCCAGTGTATAGTATAGACACTAATCTTTTGAATTCTGTCGGATATCAAGCTTCCTTTTCTTAAGAAACCAGCCATATAGTTTGTAATGGTTGTAGAATAATGATGAAGAGCTGCTGTAAGGCATTGACTAGTGACTTAATTTATCACTGTGTCTGTATCTTTCTAGCAGTGGCACTAGAAACAAACTGATTTTCTGTGCTTCTTTCTGTGCTTTGTCTTGCAGACAGCTATTAAGAGTCTGTTTTTTACTTTAGATGAATTCTTTATTTTCATTGATAGGGCTGAAAGTTATATTTCCTACCATTTCCTTCAATTCTAGACATGGTGAATTAGATAAGCTGTAGTGTTTGCATGTCTGATTTTTTTATAGTGATCTGTATAGGAATAGATGGAGACAAGTAGTTTTGCTTATTTTTAAGTTCAATTTAAACACATACCTAAAACCATTTTGTTTAATTTTTGTGAATGATTTCCTGTTCTAACTTATGTTCTTATGTGAGTCATTATTTAAGGAACCTGTTCCCCACTGCTTTATACCTTGTGGAAGTGAGTGTAAAATGCTACCAAATCAAACAGTAATTTACTCACACTTTGCACAAGTGGAAACATATGTGTAGTTATACAAACATAATTACTAGATGCAGGGCAGAGAAAAATCAGGCTCTCTATATGTAACTGTGCTTTTCTGCAGTCAGAATTATTTAGAATATTTCCCCAATTTTGATTACCTTGTTCCAGTGGTATTTATGGGCAGTTTAAAGTATCCAGATGAGAATGGGTTTGACGCCTTCGTGAAGGAACATGGGGGCAGTGACAATGCTTCTACTGACTGTGAACGGACAGTCTTCCAGTTTGATATCCAGCAGAAATACTTTAAAGAAGCACTTGATAGGTAAGTTGATCACACCAAATAATTCATTCATTGATTTAAAATAGAATAACACAATGTGTATCTGTCTGATGATACTGTATGTATGACTTTTCATTGCCTTTTTCAGCCTGATTGAAGGGAGTCTGCCTGTTGTTGAACTTTCATTTTTCCCTTTCCTGCAAAATAGGACATTATGAATAGAAGAACCCTTTGCTTCCTTGGATGTCTCCTTATTTTTTAGGTATCAGATGGGTCTCACAGTAATGTGTCTTCTCTTGGGATTAATGTGTACTGTGCACCTTCTGTGAGGGGAGAAGAGACCTCACTGTGTATTTACTTCAGAGAACTTACTGTTTATATTTTGGGATCCCATTAATTTCTCCTATTGTTGCTATTGCTGGTTAATTCCATTTATGTACTACTTGGAGAAGTGCATCCAGGATACCGGTCTAACTGGTGTCTCCTTTTTATATATATGTCCTTTTAGACTGTAATTTTTTGTCTATTTAAAAAAAAGTCTGGAATCCTTTGTTACACCCTACCACAGTGTTAGTGCCATTAATATGAGTCAACAACATGTATTGGTCAGAGCCCAGAAAAGGTCTTTCATTTACTCACACCAGGCTATAGTTTATATCAAGACAAGCCTTGCTGTTGGCTCCACCAATTTGTCTGTGTTCCTGCCATAAGGAATTTAAACCTTCTTCTAAGGTGGGGAAATTTAACTATTTTTGATATTGCCATAGACAATAGACATTTTTATCAAAGCCATTAATAGAGTAATTGTGGCAGGTAGCTTCTATAAAATAACAGTGTTGCCACCTCCAGAGTAAGGCAAGTATAGGGTACCTCAAAATCCTAGCCTTAGCTGCCTGGTGGGTATTCCTTGGTCAGAGAAAGGCTAAGGGACATGACCCTGACAGAAACATGCGATTTATTGCTCTTTGAGGCACTGAACATCTGGACTCAGTCTGGCCTTTAGATTCCATCTCAGTGGTTTAAAGTTGGGCAGCCTCCACTCCTCCATACTCTTGCTTAGACGTACTCAATCGTATGCATCAAAGGTCTTGGTGAAATGGTCGCAGAACTCCATGCAAGCGGATTCATCTGCACCTGACTAAACCTCTTATGCATGTACCATAATCCAGAGGATATGTGGTTGCCTACTAATAGGGTAGTTGAACCAAAACTTGCATTAAAACACTAATACTATGGAATTAGTTTTCTATGGGAGTCCTGAGCAAGCATTTGGGACAGAATTCAGTCCTCTGTTAGCGGGGACCAGATTGGCTATTTTGAAGGTTCCCCAGGGATGGGTAACAAACATATTAAAACAATAAGGCCAAGACTTTCATATGAAGAGAAGCTAAAAAAGTCAAAGCTAAGAAGAAGAATTAATGGTGATGCAGTATAAAATACTGAGTGATTTAAAGGTAAAGAGATACTTCTATTAATTGTTTTCATCCAAGAATATAGGAGCAGCTAATGAAACAATAAATTAAAAACTGCTATAAAAAAGTTGGTGGTCTGCCACAAGATTTTGATGCAGAGAGTTTAGGACTTTAAGAAGAATTAGGCGCAATATATTTTTTTTGATTGTTAATTATTTCACAATAAAAGAGATAATGGAGCAGTCATTCAGCACTTCAGGCATCATTGCTGGTCTCCTTAAAATATATTACAAGAACGGACCAGTTGGTAATTTAGAGATTAAAATTTCTCAGAATTAATTACATATAAAAATGTTTAAGTTCCAGCAGTCTTTCCCACTATCCCCACATTTACACAGATTTCTCAGTACTGCAGTGCATGCATATCCTTTGCATACCATTCTTCTTTCATATCTATCATCCATATTGCTGTGGATGAGCGAGAAAAGATACTAGTAGATGATCTACTCATAATTCATATAAGTATCATCTAATAACATTCTAATGCATGTAACCATTTATGCTTTAAAGCAGAGGTGTCAAACTTCCTTTGTACTGTGGTGCTTCTTATGGGCTGGATCCAGCCCAAGGCACAGGGTGGCTGTGGCATAGGGTGGCTGTGGTGTATGGCGGCTCCAGCTGCATCTGGCACAGGGCACACAGTGGTGGCGGTGGTTTTGGTATGGAGCAGTGGTGGGGCTGGTGGTAGAGGAGGAAGAGCAAGCATGTAGGCCAAGTGCCCTCTTGCTGTGGTGGTGATGATGGGCTGAGTGGCCATACAGTGACTGGGTCTGTATCAGTCTTCACTTGCCCTCCTGCCACTAAGGGCCATGTCCATTATTTCCCAGGTGTGCCAGATCCTGTGGCAGACCAGGCCAGGCCCCCTAGCTATACCACCAACTTCTGGTAGCCTGTCAATAGCCCTGCAGGCTGGATAAAGCATCTAGTACTGAGCATTGTTGGAGACGGCACTGTAGTAGGTGGATCACTGGTTGTCTGCTCTGGTCTGATTCAGTTCGTGTGATGAAGGCAGATAATCTTTCATCCTTTGGTACCATTTTCTACAAAATCCAGTTCCACTCCAAAGGGTAGAGGGCCTTGAGCCCTGATATTCCATGAATATTTAAGAATTGGCTCTATTCATATTACTTTAAGGGTTTTAGACCTAATGGCAAAATAGTTCAGTGTTGTATACTTTTTTCATTCTTCTGCAAATCCTAACTGAGAGAATAATGAATATTGTTATTTATTGCAAGCAGATTTTTTGCTAACAATAGTAAATCTCTTATTAACAGGTGATAAGAAAAACAACTATTCTTCTCACTGTTTTAGGTGGGCACAGTTCTTCATTCATCCATTAATGGTCTGGGATGCAATTGATCGTGAAGTTGAAGCAGTTGACAGTGGTAAGAGTAATATCATTAGCTAAAATCTTTTCTTGAACTCCGTAGCATTGCCTGTATTGAAGTTTTTGACTGAAAATAAGTAGTTAAGATATTCAGCTATTCTGTGCAGCCTAATGCATAGTATTCAATATATTCTTTTTTAACTAAGTCAAACGTAATTTTAGTCCCTAATTAATTTTTATATCAGTGAGATTTTTATCAGTTTCTTGAGCTCCGTGAAATAGGCACACATGAATGATAGTAAAATTGTGTTATAAATGAAAGCATCTTTAGTGTACCATACCTATTATAAGCAGCATATTAACATCCCATAGGAGGACTAGGTTTGTGAGTTTTTGAAGGAGAATAATTAGAGTGGGAAGCAGTGCTGAAAATGAGAAACTTCCTCTCTTCAGAGAAACACCTCCTAGGAATTTCACTAATCAGTTGGAACAAGACGAAATTATTACAAAGAATAAAATAGAATGAGATTGAAAGTGACCTGCAAAAAGGCAAGAACAGGCCAGTGCACTTTTTGTAACGCTTCAGGATATATAAAATCTGAAAAGTGTGGATCTGAATAAAAGTTTTTAACAACAATGACTTTTATACTTGTGTTTTTTGTGTGGATACATATAATTTGAAATATGGTTCATATTATTGTAATTTGTCATTGTTAAGTGATAGGAAAATGTGAAATGTCCACACTCAGTTACACTGAAATAATTAGACTGGTGCAACATCATACTTGTTGTTAAACAGATGCAAATGCCTAATTCTAAAAGATAATCAAGTGGTTTTGCAAAGGGTTGAGAATTATGACTTTCAATTATAGTTATTGGGAACTGAGATACTTTACAGTGTTGCAAGATCAGACCCACATATTTTTCTCCGCGTTCTCCATTTTTTACCCCATGTTCTACATCTCAGAAATGGCCTGAATATTTTATGTTCCCACCTTGCTTTTCTATACTTTTTGCATAATTGCTGCAAGCAGTCAACTACTTCACTGTTGTTTCATGACTTGATGAGAAGTACTGCCAATACTGCCAAATGTACTCTGTGAATTCTCTTTGAACACTGGTGTTAGTTACACTAGGACATTTTCTTAAATCTGAATGGTTTAATCCTGTGTTAATTCTTTAAATCTAACAGAGTATCAGCTAGCAAAACCCTCTGATGCAAACAGGAGGGAGCTGCTGCTCGGAAGCCTCGCCAAACCTGGGCATCCTATGAGGAAGTTTTTCTGGGGTAAGTTCTGCCTTATTGCTGTAGGACTCCAAAAATTATTAATAATGAAGAATGTTTTAACCATGGGGAATTCTTCAGTATTACACCAAACTGCCACTTGTTGAAATCTATTAAAACAATTCTTCTTTTTGAGCATAGTTTAATACTTTGGGATAAATGTAGGATATTTTCAACTCTAACCTGGCTATTAGTTAATTATTCATTAGACTGCCTCATGCTCAGATTCATGGTAATGTAGTGCATTGGTAATTTAGGGTGCTATAGGACAGCTGTGGATCACATCATCCCTTGTCTTTTCTATTATAAATCTTGGAAAAATAGGATTTGCTTCTTGGATATAAAAAAAAAGAACATGTAGGTTCTCAAGGTCTTAGTTTAGAAAGGTCTGGCAATTGGTTCAGCCTTAGATCAGTAGTAATCTGTGAAGACTGGCTTCCCTGCCACTTCATAATCTTCCAAATGAGGGAAAATGGAAAGAGAATTTACCCTCCTTTTCCCACCCCCTGTAAATCCGGTGCAGCGGTTCTGCACCAAACCCTTTTGTGCTGCTCCATCAATTGCAAATAAAACCAGTTTTATATTCCGTCAACACAAAATTAAAAAAGAACATGCAGGATTAGTTACTATACCCACTCCTGAATCTTTTCTAACAATGTTTTCTATTTTACATTCATTTTTTCCTATCTTTATCGTATTTTTTCTCCTCTAGTGTTATGAAAATCCAACACAAACAGGGTTAAGAGTCAAACTTAGCATATGCAAAGTGTTGTCCAACTTGAAAAATAAATACCCTGGGAAAGACATTTTTCTCTATTCTTCTGAGGACCAACGAGCCCAAGCTAATAGAGGGAAAATTTAAGCTGTACATAAGAAAAAACTTTTTTTCCATAAGGGATACCAGAATCTGAAACACACTCCCAGCAGAGGTGGTGCAGTTGCCATCCTTGGAGGTATTCAAGATGAGGCTGGATAAGCACCCTGTTGGGGTTGTTTGAGCCCAATAACTTCCTGCCCATGGCAGGGGACTGGACTTGATGATCTTGCAGGTCCCTTCTTGTTCTTTGAGGCTATGATTCATTATATTTTTAAAGGCTTAAATTTGTAAAAATAGTAGCTAGAAGGTTTCGTACAAGAATATTATTCTTAAATTGTCATTTCTTTAACTCTGGATTTTCCAGAAGTTATTTTGAAGCATTTCACCACAACCTTAGAAGTAGATAAAACATATTTTCATGTGTATATGTTTTATCTCTTTCTGTTTACCCCCATGTATTTATGATTTAAACATTTTAAGTTCCATCCTGCATTACCTGCAACACAAAAACTTGTACTGAGCTTAGTAAACTTGTGGTACATAGGGAATTGAAAATTAGGCTCTTTGATCAGAAATGCCATGGTAATATGAAGCCAGATAACAAATCACTTTAACATTCACAGGTAATGCAGAGACCCTAAAGCATGATCCTAAAAATAGGAATATTGATATCTATACCAGGCTGAAGGACTTTTGGCAGCTCTATTACTCTGCACACTATATGAATTTAGTAGTTCAATCTAAAGGTAATATCAGTTATTGTTTGAGTCTAGACTATGTATGCTCTAAAGTATGATTTATTTCTGTTTCAGTTCAGAACTTGTTGATTAGATGATAATGACTCCACTAGAGTTATTTGTATGGCTTTATAAATCTATTTAGAAATGCCAGTATTTAACTCCTTTTGTTTACATTCCTTAGTCTGCACATCATGTCTGGCAACCACACAGCTGGGAAATTTAGCTCTTTTGAATGCCATATATTAAATTCCAAATAATTTACTGCGTGGGTGCCTTGTATGAGACCTTATTACATAGGAGCTCTCTTCTTTGAATGGGTATTCGTGATTGCATTGCCTTTTTTAATATTGTTAGAGGATTGCATATAATGAAAAGTCATGCACATAATGCTTAACACAACGGTCACCAAAATTTGGTTGGGAGCCTCTTGGCAATACCATAATAATAATAATAATAATAATAATAATAATAATAATAATAATAATAATAATAATCCATATTGTATTTGGGTACATAGGGCTTGGAAAGTGATTGCAAAGGGCATGATTTTGTGGTAGTAGTTCTGCTTCTATTGTCCACTGGGTGAAATACGTGGGAACCTGTAAACCCTAGGACTGTCAACCTAGTAACCCTGGGACCATCTCTATTAAAAATAGTGTGCCTGTCTGCCTTTCTGCTTGATTTATGTCATCATTTTAGTTATCACATAGGGATCACTAATGTACCAGGTGACATGTGAAATTTTGGCACTGACGTTTTCTCAAGTTCATAAACTATGTAACTAAATAATTATGTAGTGTGTTTCTTCCTTTATAAGGAAGAAGGGAAAATGCAACCCCTTTTCACATTCTTTAGTGTGCTACACTAGTTCAGAACTGCATTGGAGACCACAGTATCTTGGACTAATGACCAACATTTGCAATCTATCTTTATCTTTGTGAAAGCTTACCCGTACATCCTTTAGTAAATTATATTTCCAACTTTTTTTTCTCCTTACCAGAAACCTTGGACACACTGGAGAAGTGGGTGATGGAAATCTTTTCACAAATTCCAAATAAGTGAGATTTTTTTTCTGATTTTCTTTGTTATCTGGAAGTTTTAAAATTATAGTTCAAATTTGCAAATATCCATGCAATTATTATTGTTCCTGACTACAGTATTGTCAAGTGAATTGTCTCTGATGACTCAACAGGGATCATACTTGGCTTTGAGGGTTAAAAGTCTTCTTTGCAAATAATGTTTTGGATAACAGTTCAGCTGCTGTTTGGTGTCAGCTCTGATGCTAGATACTGACTGATGTCTGCTACCTCTATACTGACACCTCAGTTGTTGGGAGAATTGTATTCTGCTTTTGAAAAATGGTAAATTTTAGGTCTTTGCTTTGTATAAACATAATTAGTAGCGAAGTACCAGTGAACCAGTGATTTATGGTGAATATTAGCCATTTTTTCTATGGGTTCAATAGGGTTTTCAAACTAACATAATAAAGTGCTGTTGTCTGCTGTCTAAAATTGACTTAACTCAGTTTTGAGTCTCAACTAAAACTCAAACTCAGTTTTAGACTCAACTAAAAACTCAACTCAGTTTTATTTTGTATTTCATAAGTATTACATTCTTTGTTACTCCTCGTTCAGAATATAATTATTTAAAATCTACAACCTAGTGACCAAAAAATGCCTGTTTCCCTGTCTCAGATATCTACTATTTTGCTGTGAGCTTCTCTTGTGAGTTTTATAGCAGCTTGGCCAATATGTGACTGACGCAGCATTTCCTGAAATTGCATATTGAAATTGTTCATCCCTGAGCATAAGATTATGGTTATTTAAAGATAACAGAAGTGTGCTACATTGATGTCTGTGATAAAAATGCAAGAGGAGAAAATTCTATGGGTGCTTTCCCAGTCTGCTGAGCCCTCAAATCTGTGTGGATGAGACAGAGAGAGAGGAAGACCTTTAAATTGGTTTTATTGATTCTTAACTTAATTTTTAGTTTCTACTTCCCGTGTAAATTGGTTTTGCAGCCAAGTTTGTATTATCATCTGTTTCACCATCCTTTCCAGAACACAGTGTGCCATATTGCTATATGAAGCTGTGTTATCTGTTTAGTAATAGAGTAAACAAAGCTTTAGAATTACCAAACTGTGAAGGGCCCAGGTATTGTAGTGCAGACTCAGTCTTCCTTATCGTACTTTTATTTCAGCAGAAGGTTAAGAAATCATAGCCCAGTTGAGTATTATATCTTCTTGTAGCAGCATAATGGCTTCAACTTGCTCGTAAATTCGTTTTGTATTTATTTAAAAGGAAATTGCCATGTGCTTCTTTGTCGCCCTTTTTAGTACGTTATTCCATTTTTAGTTTCTGCTATAATTTGTTGGTTTAGTCCAGGGATATCCCAGTGCCCTCCAAGCACAACCATTTAATTCTCTTCTTGGGCAGGAATCAGTCAGGCATTTTATTCTACTGACCCATTGCTGCGCACATAGAGCTGGTACAAATCTCTAAACCCATTTCAGTCAGGCCTTGCCATGTAGCAGAGTGCAAGAGTCACTTTCTCAACTCCTATGCCTTGTCATTTTGGGAAGGGAAGGGTAGTTGATGTGTTCAGGGTGTTTGTTTTTGGGACACTGGAGAATAGTGAATAGGTCGTATCAAGGGAGGAGAGAGCCTGGGTCCCTGGAGGGGCTCAGGTTTTCTGTTGCTTGAGAACTGAGGGCATTGAGCAGGGGCCCTGGACTCTGAGCAGTAAAAATCATGCTATATTTTTTTTTTTTAAGTGGTTTGCCCAAACCAAGCTTTGGCCATCTGACACAGCCTTTTGACACACCAGAATTTCACAAGCTGTATAGAGGTGAGTGAGCTGTATTCCTATTTACATATTGTTAATTGTTCTGCATTTAATTTAACTTTCATTTACCCTCTTAGCAGTTGCAGAATGGTGGTGAAGTGTGCATTTGGCAGGTCTTAAAGATACCTGTATAGATTCTTATAGTTTTAGAATGGTCGATTTTACCATTGTTGACTGTTGTATAGTCCCTCTGCCCTCTCTTTCACATTCTGCCTCAACCAAGATCTCTTTTCTACCTGCCTGGTTGTTAAGTTTAAAAAGAGAAGAATTCTTTTGCATTTGCAGTTAATATATTTCTTTCTGTTTAGTTGTTCCAGTCAGAAAAGTTCATTCTTTGAACATTGCGTGGGCACTGCCTCCTCAGCAGAGACATTACAGGTAGGGAGACAGTTCATATCTTTTGATTTCATACTCAGCAGGCATGTCTGCACATGCTATTAATGCACTTTAAGTTTACTGTGCAGTAAAGTAAGTCACAGTAAGTTTGCCCTGGGAACACATCTACACATGCTCCTGTCTGGAGTGAATTTGTTCTGGATGGTATCATTTTAGTGCAGGGCTACTCCTGTCCTGCTTTGCCCCCCTACAGCGGCCAGGGGGAGCTCCAGGCTCCCCTGGGTGCCAGCCCCTGGCTGGCAGGGGGCACCAGGGTCAGGCCTGGGCTCCGGGGAGTGGGGAGAGCTGCTCCACCTCCAGGGTAGCTGCCTCCCACCCCCATGCCCCAATCAGCAGGGGCAGCGGCTGGGAAACAGTCCCCTGCCCCAGGCAGCTGCCTGCATCCCAGCCCCTAACCCTGATTGGTAGATTGGAGTGGGGACTGAGGCACTGTCCCCTGCCCTGGGCAGCTGCCTGCTTCCCAGCCAATCAGAATAGTGTCTCAGCCCCCTGCTGCCTGGGCTGACTGGGAGCAATTTGCTCCGGGTCAGCTGTCTACATCTGTTACTGTGCAGTAGCTACTGTGCGGTAAATCTGTTACCTGTATCTACAAGTAGTAGCCAGTTGTGCAATAGATTAATTTACTGTACACATGTAGATGGCGATGCTTTACTGTGCAGTAGATTAGTCAGTTATCTACGGAATTTAAGAAATAACCAAGGCCTACACTCTTTTTAAATGCAGTGAGAAGGAATTAATATTAAAATATTCCAGAAATAAAAATCTGTTGTGTTCTTTGATATTGTGGAATCGCAACAGTAAATATTTACTGTTCTACAAATAATAGGCATAGTAACTTACTGCTCTTTGTTGCATGGGCCGTCAACAAAAATGTTATTTCTAGGGTCTTGTGCTGGGCACATATGAGTCATCTTTAGATGAATTTTGCTGCTGCTGTGTGCTTTTGTGCTGTTGTTCATATTTTTGCACTTTGCAGCAGAGTTCTGAATTTTTCAATTTTTTTTTAGGGTGAAGCCCCTTCACTATATATCTTGGCTGGTGGGACATGAAGGCAAAGGCAGTATTCTTTCCTTCCTTAGGAAAAAGTATGTATTTTCTGTATTTGTAAAGAATGAAAGGGGGATATTTTCACTTATTTAGGGAATTGAAAAATGATCCAAAAATGTATGTATGTACATTTTGAAGTTGGTAGCATTGATATGATTTGAGCAATAAGAAATACTCTGCAAATGAACACTTTAGTATAGCCACTACTAAATAAAAGAATCCCAAGTACAAACAAAGCTCTAGAACAACATTTGCAGCACTTTTGCTGGAAATGTGCATTATTTTTTTGAAAATATATTGATTTTTAATGAAAATAATCCAAGAAACTGTATAACCTGTTCTTTTTAATTACATGGAACTTTGTGAACTAGTAGAAAAAGTGTCATCTTGTAGTCTGATTATGTCTTATCTTTTAAAGTCCTTAAAGCAGCTTTTTACTAATCAGGTAAAAATAAGCTTAAACAATGACACTCTTAATTATAATTAGACTTCCTAACCTTTTTACTGGAATAAATAAATAATAATTTAAACATTTTTCGTTAGGTTTTGGGCTCTTACATTACATGGAGGAAATAGTGAGACAGGATTTGAACAGAACTCCACCTACTCTATATTCAGCATTTCTGTTACTTTGACTGAAGAAGGTTATGAATATTTCTATGAGGTAAATTTTTTGCATCTCGGATCATTTTTGTATGTCCAAATGTCAAAAGAAACTCATTGGCTTGTTTTTCTGTCTGCAGATTGCACATGTTATATTTCAGTATCTGAAAATGCTTCAGAAAAGAGGGCCAGATAAAAGGTAACTTTTGGATCTAGTGATGTGATCCATGATAACAGTTATCACACCGCAAAGAAAGTAGACAAAGGGATAAGAAAGAGCGCAGTCTGATAAACTGCCACTTAAGTTCACTTAAATTTGTGTTAGCTAAATGCTAAGTAACATTCCTCGGGCTTCTCTGTATGAAAAAGATATATTGGTTATAAGCTAAGGTACGAATCTAAGCCTATATAGTTCCTAGTAAAACTCCCTGTGTGCATTCTTATTTCAGAATAGAAGTGGCTATTTTTGGTTTACATTTTGTTCTTTTGAAGGGATTTAAACTAAATTGAAAAGGGCATTCTTTTTCTGGAATAAGAGTGTCCATGTGTGGAGAAGATGAAAGTTATCTATGTGGTTTCAGCTGTTCCACCATAACAGATCAAACTGCCCTATATAGGCAGCTGTTAGTGGGAGACAAAAATCAAAGAATTGGACAACTTCAGGTCCAAGAGAATTGCTAGTCTACCTCCTTCCCCTCTGTACACTACAGTCTTCCAAGTAGTGAGGTCAAACGTTTCTGAATGCTGTGCTATGGTTAGAACATGGAACTGGGAATCAAAAAGTCTTGGTCCCTGACTCATCTGCTTACTTGTGTGCCGTTGCCTAGTTGTATTGTAATTTTCCAGGTGAAATAAGGGGGGAAAAATTGTAGAACTAATGATGATTGATTCACAATTATTACATATTCTGAAATTCCCAGGCAAAAATTTTGCATATATGTATCTATAGTATTCCATAGTATTCTGATCCCATAAATGCAATAATAATACTGAAGAAACACGGACTCAAGTATGCACCCTAATATTCTGCCAGAATTGGTATATGATTAGTCTCTTAATACATATAGCAGGGTAATGGTTACATTTTTCCACTTACAGAATTTGGGAAGAGATTCAGAAGATTGAAGATAACGAATTTCGTTTCCAGGATCAGGTACTGAGTTCACCTTCAAGTGTTTTCTGTAGGTATAGGCATTAAACTTGTTTTTTTAACTCTTAAATGGGATCTTCACAATGAAGTGTGGAACTTGCATGGCTCAAATTTCCTGACTCTCTGAAAATATATTCTAACACAGATGAGAAAATGAGCATTTGTTAAACAGTATGTATTTTTATTCAACATAGAAAAATGTTAGCCTTTTTATCACTTGAAGTTGACCCTTAATAAAACCAAACTATAATCTGAATTTTTTGCATGTCATGGTTTTGGAAGTTCTTTTATTCTTTCTTCATGTTTTCTTGTCCGTCCTTAAGGTCATCCTTCCTTATCATCCAATTTAGATTGTGACATCCTTTTGTTAGGAACCTTTTTTCATTCACCAGTTAAGTGCTGTGAATAGTCATGGTGCTGTATAAATAATAATGGTGATTTTTGTGAATATTACAGTATTCTAGGGTGTGAGGGGACAAAATGGGGGCCCTAAATTGAAGCGGTGGGTTTTAAAAAATACTGCTTTAATTTAGGGCTGATTAAATCCCCATGTCATGCACATCTCCTGCTGACTTACCTGCCTCTCTGATGGGGAGGGGAGGGTGAGCTGCTGGCTGGTGGAGCAGTCCCTGGGCTGCGCGGGGAGAGGGCTGGTGCTTTCCTTCACGGCAGCAGCAGCCCCCTCAGGCAGCACCTGCCCACAGGCACCCACTTTTAGCTGTCCTGGGGGGGCACCGCAGCCGCAGAGGGAAGCGCCAGGCCCCTGCGCAGCTCAGGCAGGTAGGCAGGCTCCCGGGGGAGGGGAATAAAAAAGATCAGGCTTGCTGCTTTTTTTGAACAGAGCCTGCTTTCCCAGGCTGCTGCCAGGCTGTCTGCGGGGCTTCCTGCAGAGCTGTGGAGCTGCATGGAGCCCAGTGCTTTGCTCTGCAGATGTAGGGGCAGCAAACTAAAACTTCTTGAAGGAGTTTTAGTTTGCTGCACCCCAAGTCATTTAAGGCACATTATGCCACTGAATTTCCTACTGTAGCTGGAATTAATGCGCAATACGCCGCCAAGGTATGCAAACACCAACACCATTAAAGCGCTGCAGAAGCCTGCGCCCCAAGTCATTTAAGGCACATTATGCCACTGAATTTCCTACTGTAGCTGGAATTAATGCGCAATACACCGCCAAGGTATGCAAACACCAACACCATTAAAGCGCTTTAGCCTGCTTTAAAGTATCGTGCACGCACACCTCTTGTTTCATTTATACACGGCCCTAGAGAGATAGTCAGCCTCATATGTGGCTCACTGAAACCCAGCATGGTGCTTGCCTTGTCCTGTAGTTCCTTTAGGAGCCTTTTAGCTTGATGTGGATAAAACCACAATGTTAGTCAGGATAAGCTGGTTATTTTCTTTGTTTGGAAGCATTAGCTCTTCTCATTTCTTTGCAGCCAGCCCCAACTAGTTGGGCAGAAAGGATGTTTTTCTTGGACATTTGCTTCAGATTTTCATTTTAGGGATAGGATGCTCCTTGTAGTGTGGCAGGGCTGGAGAGAAGGGAGTGCATTTGAGATCCACCAGTAAGGATTTTTTTATGAACTACATTTAGGTTCAGTAGCCAAAACCAAACCTTACCGACATAGCCCACAAATGCTTTTAGACATCTGAAGAATGAAATGCAACTTTACTCCTTTTACAGACTGATCCAGCTGATTTTGTTGAAAGTCTTTGTGAAAATATGCAGCACTTTCATAAGGAGGACTTTTTGATAGGAAATAACCTTCTCTTGGACTATAAACCTGAAGTAAGTAGCCTCATACTGAAGTGTGTGCTTGAGATGAAAAAGTTGTGGGAAGAGGTGGGGGGTGTGCTTATTGATAGCCTGCTGTCCACCAGTGGGGAGTAGGGAACCTCACTGCAATCTATTGGAGACTTCCAGGGCTGGAGCACTCCCGCATCTATCCTGCCTTCTTGCCCAGGGTCGGTGGGTCAGAGCTGCAGTCTAGTGGAGACTTTCTGGGTTGCGTTATGGTAACTGACAGCCTGCTGCCCGCTGTAGGTGGAGGGCAAGGAGTGATGCAGCACCCCAGGGGCTCCTGGAACTGTTTCTTGCTCACTAACCCCAACTGTCCCCTGTGGGGATGGGGGTATGTAGGGAGCAGAGCTTCAGCCCTTCCCAAACTCTTGGGGTAGTAGTGCTCTTCCTGAAAACCCAGTGCCCTCTGTGGTGGGTCATGGAGCAGAGTTGACGCCCATGGAGACTTCTGGAGCTGCAGCGCTCTCACTGATTGCCTGCTGCCCCTCATGGTGGGGCAGAAAGTAGAGCTGATGTTCCCCCACAGGTTTCTGGAGCTGCCGCATACTCACTCAGTCTGCATCCTCTTGTGCAGGGGGGTGCATAGATCTGCAGCCCCATAGAGACTCCCAAGGCCACAGCACATTCCCTTATAGTCCATATATCCCATGTAGCAGGCCAGGAAGCAGAACTGCAGACCCCGTGAGATTCCAGCAAGTGCGGAGGGCTCATTGGTAAGACTTCTGCCTTTCATTAGGTGTCAAGGAGCAGAGCTGCAGCCTCTTGAGACTTTGGGATGCAGCATGGTCAGTGACAGCTTGCTGCTGTCACCAGGGTGTGGGGAGCAGAGCTTCAGTCTTCTAGAGGCTCCTGGGGTGTCAGGGTACTCCCTAATAGTACATCTGATCCCTGCCTGGGGTGGGACTGCACTCTAGTTCCTCAGAGACTGCCAGGGACAGTCTGCTACTTGCCCCTGGACAGTCTGCTACTCCCCATGAGGGCATGGAGAGCAGAGGCACACAGCCCCCTGGAGACTCCCAGAGCTGTAGCCTGCTTCCTGATAGCCCGTATGTCCTCCCTCTGTGGGGCAGGGAGGAGAGTTGCAACCCCCTGGAGACTTTTGGGACTGCAGTGTGCTCCTTGATAGCCTGCAGCCTCCACAGGAAGATGGGGAGCAAAGCTTCAGCCTGCTTGAGTCTCCCAAGGCTGCAAGACAGTCACTGATAGACTGCCGCCCCTTGCAGGGGTGCAGCTCCCCAGAAAGTCCTGTGGCTGCAGCACATTTACTGATACCTGTCCATGCTCTGTGAGAAGAAGGGTACGGTGTGCCCCAAACCTTGTTTAACATCTCTCTCAACTATACAGTTGGTCCAAATAAGATATGATATCACCAACAAAAACCCTTACTTCTCACATCTATTTTTAAAGATCATTGCTGATGCCCTTAACCAGCTCTGCCCTCTGAAAGCCAACATTTTTCTGTTGTCTGCTGCCCATGAGGAAAAATGCCATCTAAAGGAGAGGTGGTTTGACACACAGTACAGCGTGGAAGGTAAAACAGCCCCTTGGAGTAGTAAAGGTCATTAAGTGTGCTCATGAGGCTATTAAAAAGGTGGCTGTGTGATATGTAACAATGCAGGAATTGGGACAGGGGTTGAAGTTGCGCTAACTGATCATAATCGTCTCATGGACATAATTGCAGTCCATGAAGAAGTCTTAGCTTTATTTTTGACTTCATTAAAAGTCAGGAGCAATTTGGGTGCCTTGTATTATTCTGTACCAGCTCTGCTGTGTATGTATTTCTAGCTGAGTCTCTCCTCTTGCTTTGAAGAGCAAAGCCTTTTGGCTGTAGAGGAAAGAAGGATCATACTGAAACCTCACCACAAATGAACAGTAAATGGAGAAGAAAACCCAGAGAAAGGAAGGTTATGACAACTTGAAAGTTGTGGGAACTTGGGATGCTAATGCATGCTGTCTTGATTTACTTTTAAACCTGATTTTAATTTCAAATCTTGCTTGTAGTGAATTTTAAAAGGGACATAATAAGAGCTGAGCTTGATTCATTTGGCAAATAGGGATGAAGACAGAAACAGCTAAAATAAAATATTATTATTCTAGGAGTCAGCAGCCAGATATTGATGTAGCAGTTGCTTTGCTATTAAGCCTGACAGCTGGGAATATATTAATTTAATGTTTTTCACAGATATTGACAAATACTGGAGTGATCTATGGGCTAGTGACTTTGAGTTAAATCAGGACTTGCACCTTCCAGAAGAAAATAAATATATAGGTGAGTAAGACATCTGTGTCTGACTGGCTCCTGTCACATTTCCCTTCTTTGATCTGCTTAGTTTGATGCCTGAAAAGATCTTTCTTTGTTTTCTTTTAGATGAATGGCTGATTTTAAATTATGTTTTTGAAATAAAAGAGAAATATGGAGGCATGTGTTTCCCTTAGGTTTTCTTAAAGCTGACTTAGTTTAGGTTTTTACCAAGTTTGGCTTGACATTACCTTTTTAAGATAACCTTAGAGCAGGGATGAGCAATTATTTGGCCTAGCAGGCCACTCAATGAGTTTTGGTGACCTGTTGAGGGCCACATCTCCCTCTCCCCCTCTTGCTTTCTCTCCCTGTCCCTCCATCCCTCTCTCCTGGGTCTGCAATCAGTGTGAAAGCCTGAACGCACCCACAGCTTAGGCATACTCCACCCTCACCCTCACCCTCACCCTCACCCTCACCCTGCAGCTGGAGTCCTGCCCACAGCTGTAGTGCAGCCCCCTCTCCCAACTTGAGTCCAGACCTAGCAGCTGTTGGCCATGTCCACAGCTGCCCAAATGCCCCCAGCAGCTTCCGGATTGGGACTCCAGGCATATGGGGTGGGGAGAGGGGATGAATGGAACGGGCACAAGGCATGCTAGAGCTGTGGCCTGCAACCAGCGTGGAAGCCTGAACCCGCCCACAGATGTAGCACACCCCAACATCTGGCCCCTGCCCGTGCCCAGAGCCCTGACCTGGAAGCTGCTGGCTGCATTTGGGCAGCTGTAGATGCAGACAGCAGCTGCTGCTGGAGCCAGAGCTGCCGCCCACCCGTTGGCCAGTTCCATTCACTTGGCGGGTGCCTGCCCACAGGCCAGAACCAGCCTGCAGGCTGTAATTTGCCCACACCTGCCTTCGAGCAACAATCACTTTCCTAAACAGAACAGCCTTCAGGATAAGCTTAATACAGTTAAGAACACTGGAGCTTTGCTTACCAAGGGGGTGGTGGTGTTTGGTTGTTCCTGCTGTTTCGGAAAAAATAATACACAATGTTAAAAAGGCTCCTGAATGGGTCAGCAAAATCAAAAATCAAGATTAGCCTCTCTTGAATGGGATATAATAACCTAACTTTATTCTGGGGTTGGCACTGAATATGAACCAGAATATTGGCAGGGGACCTAAATTCATGAGTGCTGGATCTAGCGGGCTATGTGATCCCAGGTATACCAAGATAGAGGAGGATCATCTGCTTACAGTTTTGCAAGTAGCATTCTTTTGCCTATACCTATGTGAATTTGAAGTATGGTAACCCACATATTTTCGTGTCTGCACTAGCCAGTAACTTTACTCTGAAGGCACCTGATTGCTCTGAGACACGGCATCCAGTCAGAATTCTGAATACACAGCTAGGCTGTTTGTGGTACAAGAAGGACAACAAATTCAAAATCCCTAAAGGTAACTGTGAAGAAATCCCTGTCTCTCCGCCTCTCACTTGGGTCATTCCAGGCGGACCCCTCTCTCTCTCTCGCTTTCGCTCTTGCTTTCTTTTTGTTTCAGGCTGGTCAACCAGGTGACCTGGCCAAATAAATTCCTGAGGGGAGGGGGGAACTCTCTCTTCCTCTGGCGGGCATCTTGAAAACCCACAAGTATCATGCCTCCAGGTGTTGCCTGGATGATTCTCTGTAAGTAAAGACCTGGAAATAAGCCAGAAGTATAGAACTAAGTATAGGCAGTTGCATCTTAAAAGGGTCACCATACTCAATATTTGTAAAGGTTCAGCTTATTTTTGTTTGCTCAAAGTGTATTCTGACTTCCTTGTTCTACACCCCACCCCTGCCGCTTTCCCTCTCTGATCAATAAAGGTATTGGGTTACAGCATGCCTGGTTGTATGTCTGTGAAGGAGGGAGAGGCAAGCCTTTTCGTTCCTAGCCCAGCCAGCAGAGCTTGTCTGTTTAAGTTTTCTCAGTCCTATCTGAGTTCATATTGGGATACTTTGGGCTGTAAGAGGCACCTAGAAATATCACCTCTGGGCGAAGCAACCCCAAGGTTCCCAGGGTCTGTGTACCCTAGGCTGCACAGGGCCCTAACTGAGGCCAGTGCCTAACTGAGGTGGTGGCAGTGTTACCCCAGACTTGTGGGTGTTCTCCAGGAAGCAGGACAGCTGGCTGTAGACACCCCATGGGAGACTCCCGGAGCAAGGTTTTTGGGCCTGGCACAGTGAGGTGGGTGGCTCTGCATAGTAGTGCCCCCTACTGTGCTGCCACAGTAGCACTCATTAACTGTTTCTTTAAACCAAATAAGGCACCCTTTTTGGCTTTAAGGATCTGGATGTCAGAGGAAGTGCAGAATACCATGGAAGATTTCCCTTTCAAAGGAGCATAGCTCTTTAGCTCCAAGATTGAGCGCACTTCACAGACTTGAGAGAGACTCTTCACTCTCTCAGTTTTAAATGACTGTCCCTATAGAAAAGTACAAACGCTGGCCCTGTTCCGGGCAGGCACATTCTCAGTAGTACTCTTGTGTTCTTCCAGCTTTTGAGTTGTTTCTGGAGAGATACCTGGTATAGCAATTTTAGTGACTAAAACATCATCTTGTGGAGTTTTGGGACTTGCTGTGGAAGTATGCATGACAACCAGTGGGGTGATTCATAGGCATTAAGGCTTTGAAAGGATTTTTTTATGTTGGGCAGAGATAAAAAGCTCTAAAGCTTTTTATCTGGAGGCCTGCTTGAAGAACCCTTGAAAGCTCAGGGAAATATTATGACTGAATGGGGGTTGTAAACATCCAGGGATCTGAGTAGAGATGGGCTTTTTCTCTGTGGCTGTTTGGGTCAGGACTAGGAACAATGGCCCTCAAGCCTCAGCGCCAGAAATTTAGGTTAGAGATGAGAGAGAACTTTCTGACTGTGAGGGTGGTCAAGCATTGGAACAAGCTACCTAGATAAGTTGTGGACTCTCCATCCTTGGAAATTTTCAAGAGCAGGTTGGACAGACACTTGCCTGGCATGGTTTAGTCAGGGAAAATCCTGCCTTGAGCAGGAGTCTGGGCTAGATGACTTTGTGAGGTCGCTTCCAGCCCTGCTTTCCTATGAGAGCTGGTGTTGATGCTGTCATAGATTTTTTGTTGCCATTAGTAAATCACCTAATTTCTTCAGGTCTCATTTCACTATACATACAGTGTAGGCAATACTTATCTTCCTTCAGGACTGCTGAATGTTGTAAATAATAAATGTTTGTAAAGAAGCAAGGATTTTTGTGGGTGACCAGCTGCATGGTTGAGATAAAGTTAAACTTTTGAATACAAGGCATTTGTCATTGGGTTAAATGTTTGTGAAGACTTTTGAAAATCTAAAATGAGAAATGCTATAGAAATATGGATTGTTCATAATAAAATACATATACCGTGATCATCACCATCACAACGTTCAGCAGCACTATATCTGAGGTTACAAGTATTTGCCATTAGTACAGAAGCATACTGCAATATCTCCAATACCACCATTTAATAATTGCTTGATTAAATGTTAATTTCTACTGAAGGTGTAACTGAAAGTAGAATTTTGAATTAAAAAACGTTAATGATCATAGTGTCAGAGTTGGAAATCTCTAAAGATAACACCCATTCGTATTTTGTAGGCCTACAGTTGTAGGCCTATAGTTGTATCTTGCAAAATACAGTTGTGACTTGCAGGCTGGGCAGTTTTCCAAAAAAACCCTTAAACTTACCTTTTTTTCCTGTGAACTGAAGAACATAATCTGGAATCATTGCAGCCCAGTATACATGGAAATTGTATCTCCATTACTGAGTTATGCTTTTGAACAGGATGACATTTTAATGTTCCCTGAGCAGCTTTTACATTTGGTTTTATATGCTAGAAACTGTGGTTGTACATTACCTTTCAATTGTTTTAGAAATAAAGGGTCAGATTAATATATGTACACAAGTAAACTGCACACACAGAGACATATAATGCCTGCCTTGAGCAGTTTACAAACTGAATAAGTTTGCAAATGACCATTACAACTTTTGTCACCGAAGGCAGTTTGCCCTTTAAGACTCCAGATAGAAAACAAGTACAACTCTGTACTCTTCTCCAGATTGACAGTTAAAAGATTATATTAGATGAATGCAGGAAGGAAGAAAAAATATTTGATTATTGAGTACAAATAAAAACATGTAGCCAGTGCTGAAAAAAACATTTATGTGTGTTTCAGAGAAAATAAATGTTGGGCCGGAGCAAACATAGTTGAATGTTTAAAACTGCTATTGTAGTTTTCTTTTTTTCAGCTTATGTACGTTTCCATCTGATCTCTCCATTGATACAACAGTGTTCAAAGAGGTAAGCCTTTTTTTCCAATGTGTTCTGCAGAACAAGATACAACTGTGGTTTTGGTATAGTTCTAGCAGTTAATATTCCCATCAGGTTAAAATGAAAGATAAAATCTTCATCTGAGGGGAAAAAAATCTGAGGATAGAACATACCAACTGCACTCCTTTATTCCCTACTTTCAAGTTCTATAGCTGCTGGTTTTGGAGGGGGTAAGGTGTAAGGCAGTGAGAACCAAGCTTTTTCACAGGCATGCCATAAATTACGGCTTTCACTCTCCTCAAGTGCTCAATCCTCTTCCTTTATCTGCTGCTTCTTTTTTCTGCTTCCTGCCCTATTTGCTGCTGTTCTCCCTGCTACCCGCCATGTATGCCATGGGTTGCCCACCTCTGGTGCAAAGCATATTGTAGGAGAAAAGAAGAATGTATATCTTCTAGTGCAGCCTATCAAGATCAAGGTTGTGGAAAATGACAGTACAATGATAACAGTATAGTGCGTCTACCAGTATACTCATATGAGGACTCTTGCCAGGGGCAGTCTACTGTGGGCACCAGATAGCCAGTAAGTTGAGAAAAAAAATGTGTGTATGTGGAAGAGACAGAGACAGAGCAGCATTAAGTCATGTGTGCATTACCCAGACTTATGCTAGCAGTTTGACTAATAAACATATTGCATCATTTCATATATTCAGTAGTCCTACTAGTTTTGGCCAGGACCGTCAGACTGTTTAGTGACTTTATTGAAAGACCACAGAACAGCTTCATGGGGAGCATTTTTGGTATATCTTTGCAAATCTTTTCTTTATCAGGTCTACTGGGGAAAGTTTTGGTTTTGAATTTTTAATCAAAGCATTTGGTTGTAATTCTCTATGGCATTTTACAGTTTTTCAATGCAATAAAAGAATCCTTAAAGTCTCAAGATATCTTCATATCTATTAAATATTCCATTTAGCAAGTTTTGACTTCAAATAAAGCAATTAAGTACCTTTACACAACTAATGTTAATGCATTGTTTGCTTTATTAACACATCACTATTTAACAAACACATTTTACCAAGAACTGACATGTTGTTTAAAAATGCATTCTTTATTCCAGTTATAGTTTAACCAACTATGCTGCAGTTTGCCAGACTAAGTTAAGAAATCAACTTAGTCTGGTAAACTATGTAATTTGCATGGGTTCTCCTTTTCTCATCTAATACACAAAAAAATTAAATTAATGCCAAAAAACCCTCCTTGGTAATCCCACCTGTCCTTAGAATTAAAAAGGAATTCACAGCTATATATTTTGGGGTTTTATTTTGCTCTGGAGAAACTTCTGTATGCAATATGTATTGTTTTTTAATGGGTTCTAAACTCTAAATCTTAGATGTGTGTAGCTATCCCATGAAATAATGTATTCCTATCTAACAGTTTCTTCTTTGGTGTTTCCTATCTTTACTTTGCTTCTTAATTCATGCAGTGTGGTGCTTTTTGAGATATTTGTAAACATCTTCTCTCATAACCTTGCTGAACCAGCATATGAAGCTGATGTGGCTCAACTGGAATACAAGCTGGTAGCTGGAGAGCATGGTTTGATCATTCGAGTGAAAGGATTTAATCATAAACTACCTGTAAGTTTTAGTAACATGTCTTGCTCACTGCAGATCAACCATTTTCAGGGCACGAGTTTCTAAATTCTTACCAGCTGTATAGCCAAAATACCAGTGGTACATGGATTTAATTAGCCTTTCCAAAGGGATTTCCAGATTTCTGCTTATGCTGATAGACTTACTGTTTCAATACAAAGAAGAACAAATTACATTACCTAGGATTCTTTTTCTTCACACCTGGCTATCTGGGCTATAAGACTTTAATAGACACTGAAAAATCTACTCTAGACATGTAAAAGGTTTTGATCAATTCTAAAAGCAGTAAATTAGAAAATGTTACTGGTTTCAGTGGGAGCTTGTGTCTTGGTTATGTGCAAAAGATGTTCATTTTAGACAAGATGTTCTGTGTATTCTTAAATCTTTTACTGTTGCTGAAGTCTCTAGACATATCCGTATTGTGTCTTAAAACACACAGTGCAGAGATTCGCTATACTAGAATAGGTACGTTGCTGTGATGCATCTTATGGGCCAATAAAGGTAGTATCTCATGGAGGGTATCTCTGCGTTGTACCATGTAGACATACCCTTACAGCAGTAAGACCACATCATGTGCCCATTGATAGTGATTCACTATTTACTTCTCATTGATATACCCCGGAGTGAACTAAGAGAACGTTCCACTGTGAAGGCTGCAGAGGTTGATAAGTTCAAGCATTCATAGGCTGAGTCCGTCTTAAAGAACACTGGTTACAAGTAACCAGTCTCTGTTTTGCAGTAATACATCTGGAAATATAAATACACAAAGTGTAAATGATGAAGAAGTCTAGTCCATTACTTAAACATTAGTTATACGAGTCATTGTTAATTTTCTTTTAAATCTGAAGTGATCCATGTGATTTTAACAAAGTTCACTGTTGATTTAGGTGTTACGGCAGTGATGTATCCTGGCAATCAAAAGCTTATTCTTAACCAATTTGTTTCTTATTCAATGCTGAACTGTATTTTTTGTGAAACTCAGCTGTTGCTTAGAGAATATTTAACAGGTCTTTGCAGCATGTTTTATGAGCCTTGCATTGATTTTTCTGTGGATTCTCAGAGAAGTTTTCTTTTTACGTAAGATAGACTTGGTATTTGTTCTCTTTGACAAATCTACTTCCTTAAAAATGACTCAAAAATATTTTCTTTTAGCTGCTCTTTCAGCTTATCATTGACCACTTGGCTGACTTCAGTTTTACTCCAGCAACTTTTGAGATGATAACAGAGCAGCTGAAGAAGACTTATTTTAATATTCTCATAAAACCAGAGATGCTGGCCAAGTAAGTGTCTGTGGGGAGACTAGTTTTAAGGGTGAAAGTTTAGACAGAAGGAAGGTGTCTCTGCCTACACTGTTTTGTCATGACAGTGAAGGAGCTCCTGCAGTTGTCTCTCTTCATATTAGTGCAGGATAAAGTAAATCATAGCACAATCTTTACATGTTTAGAGCACAGTACTTGAGTTGTTGAGTACCTCTTTCTTGTGATAAGTGGTAGATGCTACTGATCAGATGCCAAAGCAGAGGTGAATATTGGTTTATGTAAGGAGGAATGTTGGACAAATTAAAAAGGTATATATAATTATACAGTACAGTATTGGGAGAATACATGTGGGACTATTTTTTACAAACTGTGAAGGACTGTTTTTTTTTTACAAACTATGAAGAAAGTTGCAAATCTTTTATGCGATGGGACCTATTTGAAGAGCCTCAGGTGATTAAAGGGTATGAGGAAAAAGAATGATGATAAAGTATAAAAACTTATGTCATAAATCTCATGAATGTTAATGTGATAACTGTCACAGTTAAGACCTTTGATATGGAAGTGCATGTGCATTCACTTGCTTTGAAAATGTAGGTGACAGGACATTTTTTTATTTCTATCCACTCCTCCTCCAAACAAAATTATTGCTCTTTCAGAAAACTAGAGAAAGCTAAACTAGAGTTAAAAAGTGTCTGGTCCTTTTTGAGTGACTCCCGCATACTTTTCCTTATGCAGTTAACAGCATCTGCACCATGCAGCGTTGGCAAGCAAAACCTTTTCTGTTAGTTTTGACTAAGATGATGGTCAAAACTTGTTTAAAATAGTCAACATTGGTTTATGCTGCCTAAACGGGCTTTTATCAAGCAGAATGTGGAGTAGATTAGAACCTTATAGACTGACTAAATCAGAGATGCATAGCATAAGTCTTTTTAAGGTGTGGGCTTACTTCATTAGATGAAAGCCTCTGATGACGTAAGCCTGGTGCTTACAAAAGCTTATGCTATGTATCTCTGTTTTAGTTAGTCAATAAAGTGCAACTCTACCCTGCCTTTTGCCTGACTTCAGGTTAACATGGCAAACAACCTCTTTCATCAAGCAAACACCTGAAACCTTTTATAATAGCTTTCCAAAGCATTCCAGAAGCTTCTATAATATCCTTGAACATTCAAAGGTGTAGGTGGTAGCCGTGTTGATCTAAGGACATAGGCAGACAAGGTTCTTTGGGTGTATCTGATATCTTTTATTAGACCAACTTAAATAGGTGGAAAAAATGCTAAAAATTTTTTTCCAACGATTTAAGTTGGTCTAATAAAAGATATTAGATTTACCCAAAGAACCTTGTCTACTTTGAACATTCAAGAAACTTCTTGAACTGCAAATTAGTTTTTGCACCTGATAATTCAGTTCAGGGCACATGAAAGTCCCTACCCTAAATCATTCTTCTTAGAGATTATGAGGATGAATATAAAACCAGCAACATAGTGGTTTTCATTTAAAAAAAACAACAAGCAGCCGATCTGAAGTTTGTTATATTTGTGACTTGTCTGCTTAGTGTATCGTCCACTAAAAAGAATTTTCTCAAACTTTAGTTCCACCCAGAATAAACAGTCTTAAGAGTGGAGAAGGTGAGCATATTTACACTGCCATATAAACCGAGCGAGCAAACTTACGCCTTTGTTTTCTTTTAATGATCAAAAATGTAGCCAGTGGGTTGGATCACAGTCAGAGTCCTTGTCTTTCGCCTTATCAAATTTGTTCTCTTCTTCCTCCAAAACTTTTGAGGACAGTGTTAGTTATACATTCCAACCTGGGTACTGTCACATGTTTTTGCATACAGTGTGCATCTGTTGTCCTAAAATGAGCTGCTTGAAATTTGGGTGCATGTCTTAAGTGTGGAAATGTACAGTGCTGCATATGCTGCCCCCCCCCCCCGCAACACTCAGAGGCTCCTTTGCTGCTGGCTATGAACACCTTCTCTTCCCCCAGCCAGAGGCTCATGCTTCACCAGATAATGACTCAGCTGAAGCCCAAGGCTTGGCTCTCATGTATTTCTGAAATGGAGCATTAGCCCCAGTTGCTGGGGCAGAGGCTCATGCTGAATCCACAGAGCCCTCAGCTGACTCCACAGGTGCTGAGGCCAAGACTGGACCCTCAGTTGACCTGGCAGGCCCTGCTGCCTGCCTACCAAGCTCAGCTCAAGAAGAGAAGTGGGGTTGGGTAGTTTGAACATGGTGTCCTGCAGCTAGGGGGTTAACAGAGCAGCCACAGTGTTTTGCTTCTCCTCTCCCTTTCCTCAATTGCAGCTTCCTATGTTTCCCTTGGTTGTGCCTTTCAGAAAGAAGGGGTGTGCATCTTATTGGGGTGGGGGGAGGGTGTGCTGTATGTGAGAAAATACAATATCACTCCTTTTTGTATCATGCTCAACCTACTGTTACAGCTTTCACCATCAATGGCTGATTTCCATAAAAGTGACACTGAAAAAATCCCACTTATTGTCATGCTGGATATTGTCATAAACTGCTTAATATCAGTAATTTAAGTGACCTCCATTGAGTGAATGTCCTGCTTTTGCTACAGTTATGAATCCCAGGACTGACTCAGCAGACAGTTACCAGTATTGGGCCATGTAGTCTGAACTGACATGCATTTAAAAATGTTCTGTTGCTGTTACAGGGATGTGCGTCTCTTCATTTTGGAACACGGACGGTGGTCCATAATAGATAAATACCAAAGACTGATGAAAGGCGTTTCTGTTGAGTCTCTATCAGCTTTCATTAAGGCTTTCAAATCACATCTCTTTGTGGAGGGGCTAGCACAAGGAAACTTAACTGGCAGAGTGAGTACTGGACTCAGCAGCTGCAGTTTGGCCTCTGCCTTCTCTGTTAACTGCCAAGTTTAAAAGGTGTTTAAGTACATTTGCCACAAGCCTCATTTATAACTTTCACCAGCCTTGTGTGCATGGGCAGTTTGAGGGATATATCTCACAGGCCCTGATCACCTGCTAACACTGGGAGTGTTTGCCTACACCACCCACTGGTGATTTTACCCCATGTTGCATAAATATATTTGTTATTTTTTTATACTGTACATCTGGATTCTGTGATGGTAAAAGACCAGCTAAGCCTGTTCCCACTTGGTTTCCTAGTGGGTGCATGCACCTACACGAGATGTTTACTGCGGAGTTGACTAATTAGCTCTGCCGTAAAATGTCACCATCTACGTGTGCGGTGCTATTAGGCTGGAGTAAACTAATTAACTCTGCCATAGGACAGTACTGCCAGACACAAGTGTATGCACGTGTAGATACTGATGGGGCTGGCTGGGGCAACAAGGGCACTTCAGTGTGGGGGTGCAACGTGCTGTGGTCAATGTACAAACACGGTGTCCGAGAGCAATAAATTATGGTGTGATGTGTGCCAGAATTTATTCAGCTGCATTAATTGCATGTGTAGATGTGCCTAGTATTTATTTGCAGTGAAGTGCTCTAGCTCTAGTGTATTTGTGATTGCCCTGTAACTGTACTGAAGCTGGCATTACAAATTCAGCCAGCGTGATGGGCTTCTTAGAGTCCAGTCTTGTTGTTGCTGGTAGTCATAATAAAGTCAATGACAACTTTTGCCTAAAGGCTTTGGGATTTAGCTCTAGCTTTGATCTAGTTAACAGATGCTATAAATGAGGGGTGGGCAATTATTTGGGCCCATGAGGCACATAGGGAGTTTTGGTGAGCTGTCACAGGCTGGGTCAGCACCCCCTTCCCTGCACAACAGCTCACCAAAACTCCCTAAACAGCCCTATCCTGTCTCTCTGCCCATGTGTCCTGCCCATGCAGGTCCCTGGTGGTCTCCACGGATCATGACTCTGCTTTGTGCTCAGCTGGGATGGGGCTGCAGATGGGCAGGGAGCTGCATCTGGGGCTGGGTCCAGGATTTCATAGATTTCAGAGACTTTAGGGCTGGAAGGTACCTCGCAAGATCATTGGGTCCAGCCCCCTGCCATGGGCAGGAAGTCAGCTGGGGTCAAGATAAACATCCAAACACCTTTTGAATGAGTCCAGAGTAGGTGCTTGCACCACCTCTGGGGGGGTCTGTTCCAGACCCTGGACACTCAGACAGTAAAGAAGTTTGTCCTTATGTCCAGTCTAAATCAGCCTTCCAGTAGTTTGTGGCCATTAGACCTTGTTATCCCTTGGGGGACCCTGGTGAACAACTGTTCTCCCAGATCCTGATGCACCCCCCTTATATACTTATAGGCTGCCACCAAGTCACCCCTGAGCCTTCTCTTCTCCAGGCTGAAGAGTCCCATGTCCCTCAGCCTCTTCTCATAAGGCTTGCTCTCTTGGCCTTTGATCATGTGGGTGGCTCTCCTTTGGACTCTCTCAAGCTTATCGATGTCCCTCGTGAAGTGGGGGACCCAAAACTGGGCGCAGTACTCCAGCCGTGGCCTCACTAAGGCCGAGTAAAGCGGGAGGATGACATTCCTGTTTTTGATTGAGATGCATCGGTGGATGCAAGCCAGAATTTGATTTGCTTTGCTGGCTGCAGCATCGCATTGGTGACTCATGTTCATCTTGTGGTTAGTCAAGACCCCCAAGTCTCTTTTGGTTGTGGTGCTAGCCAAGCGTAGCACTGCTGAGCCTGTAAGTATGATGCTGTTTTTTTCTCCCAAAGCAGAGCATGGTTCTGTAGTGGTACAAGAGAGCTAAATTACTTGAATTGTAAGGTGAATGAAGCAGGGTTAAGGTTGCAATGATTTTGCTGCTTTTATATCATGAAAGGAGGATGCCAGGGTAACAGTTACATTGTAATAGCTGGTAATTGGTAAAATTTGGTGTGACACAATCTTTATCTCAGTCTGTATCCCCAGATTTTCAAAACCCAGGTGACAAGGGCTAGCCCTACATGCAGGTAACACAGGTACTGTTGTGTGGCCAGGAAGGAGGAAAGAGACCTGAAAAAACCCACTGTTTTCACTTTGTGCCCATCACTTTCACTTAGCTGGTCATGTTTGTCCTTGAACCGTCAGTCTGTGGGGGAAACTTGCCCAATGTCCTGGTGGGGGCAGGGACTGTTTTAGTGACAAATATGCCCATGCTTGTGGGGTCATTTGGGGTTTAGCCAGGACTGCAACATTGTCTGTGCTCCATGCATTTTGCACCAAGCCCAGCAGCATGTAAGTGAAGTATATCTGTTGTCGACACATGCTGCCCTTCCAGCCCCCAGAGACATCCTGCAGCACTGGCTGTAAGCTCTGCTACTGCTCTACTCTCTTCACAGGAGCCCAAGGTGCTCCCCCAAAGCATTTCCAGCCTCCCAAGCAAGAAAGGCCCTTCCCTCGTGCCTTTTTGCACATACCCCGACCTGCTTACTGACCCGCTCTCCAAGAGCCATTTCTTTCCCATTAACTCCCTCTTTTTTGGCTTCCACATTGAGAGACTAAAGCCCCTGAGCAACATACTGGATGGGAGATGTCTGATCTCTTCTGCAGCATAACATAGACCTGATTAAACAGTCGCCTTGTAGGGAAGGGACTGATTTGATGTTGTAACAGTAGAAGGGCAGGGCTGGAATATGTATTGGGACTGACAAATCCAGTCTCCTAAACTGTGTTGATTCTTCATTTCCTAGAAGTCAAAGGACTTCCTGAATTACGTTGTTCAGTGAGTATCTGATTTTTTCCCTCTTTCCACTTGGGAAGCAGATAACAAAGTTATGCCCTTTGGTTAACTGGTTTCTTTTTTTTGTGGAGGGTGGGGAGATGGTTTGAAACCTGGAATTTCCTGTTCAAGAAGAAACATTGTAACTGTATCATCACTAGTTTCTAGGAATCTGCCTTGGGGGTTCAGACATGGTGGCAGGTGAAATGGGACATCTTGTTAATTTTGTTGTGGCCCGAGGAGGGATGGAGACTGATTTGACTTCTAGGGCATCTGGGTTGTGAGACTGGTGGTTTGCCTTGGTCAAGGAATGGGCAGGTGTATGACACTCGCTGCTTGGACTCTCTTCAGAAAGCTGCAGTTTGTTCCACTCGCACACCCATGCCCTGTCCAGTTCCGGGTGGTGGACCTGCCAAACACGCACCTGCTGTGTAAGGTGAAAACCCTTAACAAAGGTGATGCCAACTCAGAAGTGACAGTCTACTATCAGGTAATGGGTTAAAGGGTGCAGTATTTTCATGTATTTTACTTGTGACATTTGGTGTGAATCCTGGGCTCGTAACAATCTTCAAACAGTGATTTCATGGAAACTGCACTGAATTCTATTGATCCCCAAAACAGTTCCCTCTAATAAGACCAAGTTACTGAAACCCCTTGATGAATCTGCTGCCTCTCTGGTTCTGTATGTGAGAGTTCTGGATGTGTATTGTTTGCAGGCATGTCTCCAACCACTCCTCTCTTGAAATTGTTACATTCCTCATGCTTACTCTCTGCAGATTGTGCCCGCTGATTTCTTCTGTTGGATTACTCTGAGACTGCTTTTCCATCTGTACTGTGAACTAGGGCTGTGTGACACTTTGCTGTCTGTTTCGTTTCAAGGCTGTTTTGACTTGTTTCGAGTTCCAAACAGTGAAATTGAAACAAAATGAAGGGCCTCACAACAAAACGAAGCCAGTCGAAATGTTTCAAAAGTTTCTAAACGTTTCAAATTTTGAAGCAGCCAGCTAGGTGGTGGGAGGCAGGGGAGAGCCAGGGCTGTGCTCTGTGTGGCTCCGCAGCCCCATGTGGCTCAGCCAGGCAGGGAGCGCAGCCCTGGCTCTCCCCACCTCCCGCCGCTGGGCTGGGCTGGGCTGGGCTGCGCTCCATGGGGCTGGCGGAACCAATTGGAGCACAGCGCCAGCTCTGCTTGCCTCCTGCCACTGAGCTGTCCTCCGATCAGCTGCGCCAGCCCCAGGGAGCTCAGTCTGGTGGTGCAAGGCGGGCAGAGCTGGTGCTGTGCTCTGCCTCCTGCCACTGGGCTCAGTTCCACAGGGAGCTGAGCCACTGGGAGCTGAGCCTGGTGGCAGGAGGTGCATCCCCACACCAGGCTCAGTTCCACAGGGCTGTGAGCTGCTGGGGAACTGAGCCCAGCTGAGGGAAGCACCTTCTACCGCCGGGCTCAGTTCCCAGCGCTGGGGAACTGGGCCCGGCTGGGGGAAGTGCCTTCTGCCACTGGGCTCAGTCCGTAGTGCTGGAAACTGAACCCAGCAGCAGGAGGTGCTTCCCCAGGTGGGCTCAGTTCTCCAGTGCTGGGTCCCAGGAGGCAGGAGCAGCATTGTGTGATCTGGCAGGCAGACTGGGGCCCACCTGCACCCCCAGGAGGGCTGCAGGGGCTCTGCTGGACTCCTCCCAGTGGTGTGGGCCCCCCATCTGCCTACTGGATCACAGGACACACTCCTGTTCCTTGGCTTCTGCTTTTCAGGTGCTTGAGGTGCAGTTTCCTAGAAACCCCTGCACCTGTCTCCTTGACACTTGGCAGGCTTCATGCCCTGAGAAGGGGCTACCCTCCCTGCAGGTTTCATCGGAATCAGACAAGAAATTACAAAGTTATAGGCTGTTTCTTGCTTCCCCATTATAGCCTATGGGTGAAATGTTGAAACAGCAAAACAGTTTCCATGAAACAAAATGGAACAGTGCTTTCAAAACAAAATTCGAAACAAAACACTGTTCCGTCGATACGGAAGTCAAAGTGGAATGCTGCTGTTTCTCACAGCCCTACTGTGAACCCTAAAAGCAGCCCTTACCCTCTGCTTTGGAGGTCATGTTGAGGACGTCAGATGCCAGAAATTCTCTGATTTCTTTTTGTTGCAAATTATAATGTCCTGCAAACTATTCTGAAGGGTTTCCTCTCTCTTGGAAGGGTCCCTGTCATGACTTGGACTATAGTAATCAGTACCATGAAGACCTGTGAACTGTTTTCAATGAATGCCTTTTCTTTTAGTCTGGGGCTAGGAGTTTAAGAGAATACACCCTTATGGAGCTGCTTGTGGTAAGTGTTAATCTTTCTTAGGAAAACTTGAGTTCTTATTAACAGATGTCTGAGAATCTGCTGTTGTGACCCAGGTAATGTCTGCCGGGAAAAGAATGGCTGGTGTCAACACCATAGGTCTAAATAACACAAAGGCAGCACATGACCTTAACCTGCTCTTGCATGCCCCTCATATAGAATCATAGGAAACCAAGGCTGGAAGTGACCTCCCAAGGTCATCTGGCACAGACCCCTGCTCAAGTCAGGATCATCCTTGACTAAACAATCCCAGCCAAGTGTCTGTTGAACCTGCTCTTGAAAACTTCCACAATTTCTTTAGGTTGCCTGTTCCAAGACTTGACCATCCTGAGAGTCAGAAAGTTCCTTCTAACCTCAAACCTAAATTTCTGCTGCTGAAGGTTTTCTCCTATGGCCATGGAGAAAAGCCCATCTACATCATCTCCGTGATTGCCCTTCAAGTATTAGAAGACTGTTATCAAATCCTGCTTCAGTCTTCTCTTTTCCAGACTAAATAAATGACTTTCAGCCTTTCTTCATAAGTCTCGTCAAGGCCTGTAATCATTTTTTATTGTTCTTCGCTGGACTCTTTCCCAAATATGGTGTAGTGTGTGCTTTAAACATAATATTAGGAAATCCCCAAAGAACTGTTTACCAAGAAATGGAATAAGAAAACATTCTTCTTACAGAACATGAATGTTTAAGATCAGGCTTCCCTTGTTCCCAGTTATGGGGTGAAAGTTATTCCTTTATAGGGTAGCAGGGAAGAGGGAATCATTTGAGGTTGTAGTATTATTCCTCTCTTATTTTGATCACACTTTTTTGCTGGGTCTGAGGCAAAGCTGCTATGTAGGAACATGCTTTGACTGAAATCATGCCATGTTTCAGATGCACATGGAGGAACCTTGCTTCAACTTCCTGCGAACCAAGGAAACCCTTGGGTAAGATCACTGTGTTGGGGTATAGCTCTTGTTCAGCTGCTTTATCATAGTGAGTCATATCAATTTTGGTATGTTGGAGATGCGTTGCTGTGCACTAGTTAATCCCTGGTACAACTGAAAGAAGAGTGTAACTTGCTACAACCCATGATAAGGGCATCTTCTGATAACTGTGTTACTCACTTTGCTGTATGTCAGGGTTATGCCCAGTCACACTACTGTCAATTGGAAAAGTTATCCACTACTATAGCATTTCCCTGAACACACATGTAAATACCAACGAGCGAAGCGAATAAACAGGTAAGCGATAGGGGCCAGGGCAGCGCTGGGACTAGGGGGTCAGTACACACATCCACAGGAGGCCTCAAATGCCTCTACACAAACGCTCGTAGTATGGGTAACAAGCAGGAGGAACTCACCCTCCTGCTGGCTGACACCAG